CCCTGCCCCGCACTGGATGGTTATGTAGGCCTTGCTTTGGGGGTCACGGACAGGGGTGGAGATGATCTATGTGCTCCCAGGTCCTGCGGACATTCGTGTCATCTGGGACAAGAATGGACGTGAGCCAGAGACGTGTGTCCCGGTACAGACCCTCACGCTGCCCGACGGCAGGGCGCAGGTGCTCAGCTGGCTGCGCGACGCCATCCGAGAAAGCGCCGATTACCGCTGCTCCGTCCTCTCCTCCGCCGGGACGAAGGCCTCCACCGTGCGGGTCAGCGTCCTGAGACACGGTGAGCCCCAGGACTGCGCTGAGGGCGGTCTCCATGTGCTGTGGCCCAGTGGGCAGGGCCGGGAACCGCAGGAAGCGCAGCGTCTCGGCTTCAGTGAGCTGCTTTGTCTCCCCAGTGCGCGCAGCCTGCACACCACACGCACTATATACGTCATGGGTCAGGTCATTAGGGTGCTGGGCCAGCAGGCTGTGACCCCTTCTGCACTTGTGCTGTTCCCGGGTGGCCGCTGTGCTGGTGCCACGTGCGCATCTTTGCCTGTATCCCCACCTGGCACAGGTGTGAGCCTCACTAAGCCTCGGCCTGGAGTGATGTGCTGCCCTGTGCTGCCCTTCCTTGAGGTTGGAGGGGCTCTTTCTCCCTCACGGCTCAGGATGCGGCTTCCTTCCCGACTCTTCCTCAGGTCTGTGATGTGCCTGTCCAGCAGTCAGGAGTTCCTGCTCTGAGATCCTGTCTTCACGCAGACATTAGGCTCAGCTGGGTCTATCATTCAGGCTCAAAAACCTTCCTCTACAGCATCTGCAGGTGGGGCTCCCCTAGCCCCAATTCCTGTCTGTAGTCTGCTCTATTCCAGACATTCGTGTCCCAATTTTTTGAGCATTTTGTCATGTCAACTAGCAATCTTCGCAAGCTTGACTGGTCTGGTAACTGTGGAAGCTTTGCACTTTAGTTCTGAACACTCTTCTATTTACTTAACATCCTCCCTCCATTTCTCTCTGCTGGCACGGTTCTCCAAGATGTTGACCTACCTATAGCTGGGCTGGCCCTCTAACTGGCCATTTCCTTTGCCTGTCTGCCATCTAACTTGATCAGCTCCATCTTGCACAGCCTTGAGCTTCGCCTCGCAGTCATATTCATACCACCAGACCTAGTATTCTGTTTTTTCATGATTTGTTCTTGTTTCATGGATATAATACTACCTCTTCACTCTGAGAATATTGGAAATTTTTTTCACTGTTTCTTCTAGTTGCCTTTCCCCCGTTTCCTTCAAGTCTCATGACCCTTGGTCGTCCCTGTATATGTAAGATAGGGGCACAAGGACCCCTTCATTGAGGTGCTGTCAACCCAAGGCAGTTTGTGGACTAAGCAGAGTTGCCAGTACCCTCAATGGAAGTGTCACATGTCAGCCCCCCCCC